ATAATAGCAAGTCAAGGAATAAGAAATACAGCTGAATCATTTACAGCAGTTTATTTAGTTTTAACTAAATCTAATTCTGATAGAGAAAACAAGTTTGATAAAAAGCTTGATAAAAAAGAAAACAGAAAAAGTGTAACTAAAATTAAATTTTTAGATAAAAATATTTTTAGTACAAATTTCATGAAGGCTGTAAAGTTATAAAAATTAATGTTATGGCCTCATAAAAATAGTTAAAGCCAATATTTTTATAAGGCCATAGCATGGAGCCAGAGCCAGTTTATAGACCTTGGCTCCAATGCCCTTGTCAAAAAGTAAGTGTAAGATTATTTTTCTGTGCCATTATGGACAGGTGATGATTTTAAAACCACATATATAATGCAATGGATAAAATATCAGACAAACTTGCATTTAATATTATTATAACCAAGAAATGTGAAAAGAAAAGGAAGTCTTTGAGTTGTCACCTCATGTTGTTCAGCATTAATGTTACTAAAAGCATTAAAGTTATCTCAAAGTTGTGAATTATTTAGAAATAATGGTATGGCAATTAAAATTTTTTTTGCCTATGAACAAAGCAAGGCTTAAAGACCCAAGGTAATTCAAAAATATAAATTTTTTCAACCAATAGCCAACTACATCTAACAACTACAATAATAAACTTTTTAACCAATAGCCAACTACATCTATCACTTCTGGGTATTGTGACAATTGTATTTGTATTATTTTTTACATGTATTTTATTTTTATCAAATACTATGACTTAAACCATTTTCTAAGCATTAGAACAGGAAAATGTTTAAGTCTTATAGTTTTATAAAGATGTTTTTTGTCATATTTATAAATATGTTATGGCTGTACCAACCAGAGTTATCGGTCAATATATGTAGTACATATAATGATTGTTTTGATTTGGTCCAGCCAAGAGTGAGTATTTTTAACAGCTACTAGGTTTTTAAAGTAGAAATAAAAATACAAACCCTGAACTATATATCATTATTTTTAGGCAAAATAACATAGCATAAAACACCAACATTAAAAAATATTAAAAAGAAATGACAGAATCTAATCAAATTTTAAATGATGGAGGTTGGTTTAATTTTTCATTTTTAAAGAGGTTTGTTATTTAGATTAACTCAAATTATTGTTAATTTTTTATAGTTGTATAGACCTTTTTACCTAGACCATTTTAACAGGATTAAGGTCGAGACCATTTCAAGAACCATTTTTAAACATAAGGTCTACTTTTTTGCACCTTTGAGTTTGGTAAGACAATAATCTATTAAAAATTATATTTTGATTATTTTTTAAAGTATTTAATCAACTAAATTAGTACTTTTAAACATATATATTTTCAATAATGGGTTTATTTTTTCTCCATAGTCTTAAGCTAAACTTTAGTTACTTTAACTTTAAAGTTCTTTAACTTTAAAAGTTGGTTTAAATTTTGGTTGATTTAACTTGGTTTTTGGTTGGTTTAACTTTTAGTGGATTTTGGTTGGTTTAACTTTAAGTGGATTTAACTTTACTTTGTTTAATTTTAAGTTGGTTTAACTTTAAGTTGATTTAAGTTTAGTTGGTTTAAGCCCTTTTAAGTCTTTTAAGTTTTTGTTTGATAGTTAAATATTTAATGCTTTAATGTATATTTTTGATATGGTTTAATGTATATGTTTGATATTTATTTTGCATTAGTCATTATTCAGGAGTTATTATATTAAATACATTTTGAAATTATTAAACATTGTTTTAACATTAAAAACTATATTATAGAAGTATTTTAAATGAGCCAATTTTAAATCAACTAATTCAAATTTAATACCATATGTATTTAATGATTTGCTTTTGTTTTAAAACTACTGTGGTATATATCAAGATGGTTAATGATGTTAATGATGATAATAATGATAATGATGATCTTTAATAACATAGTATTATATATTTTATATTTCTATTTTTTTTTGTTACAATTTTATATACCATTTATCAATTGATCTACTAATTAATAATGTCTAATCACAATATTTTTAGCAGCCATCAAAATTGTCAATTAGCAGCCGTGGCACAGTGGTAGCGCACTTGCCTCAGAAACGTAAGATCCGTGGTTCAAACCCCACCTCTGGGCAAGTTTTACAATATCGGTTGGGAAGTAGGTGTGAACTTCCTATTAAATGCTCTTCTGCAGTGCTCTGTGATAAGACCGTAAGGACTTCTTGGGGCACCTAAAATTAACATAAAAAAAACAAAACAAAACAAAAAAATTATAAGAATAGAAAAACTTGCACAATGGTTTTTTAAAGGGTTTGCCTTGTTAACAAATTAAGTCTATTAAAAGTCCTTGCATCTTCAAAGCTATGAAATAAAATATAATTTTAAAATCTTAAATATTATCAAATAAATAAATAAAATAATTTTTTAATAATTTTCACATAAAATTACATTGGATGGCTGTTTTTACTTACTGGCGTAAATGGTATAAATTTCATGAAAAAATTTACTCTAATTTTTTTTCTACCATGAGACTAGTACCTAATAGTGAATATTTTGTCTATATCAGTTGCATCTGCATTTAGAGAAATTGATGATATGCTATTTTCCTCATTCAATCTTTTAATTAAGATAATGACTGTGAGTTTGAATAATTTTAACCCACCTAAAATTAATAACTGCAGGAAACCTAAATAATTTGTTTGCAACCTAAATTTGTCAAAAAGCAGTCAAAACTTCAAAAGTTCATAAAAAGAAAGTTGACTGAAATTTTTTTTTTTTGTGTTAAATTAAAGTTTGTATATATTTATAATTTACGAGAGAAAAAAATAAAAAATAATAAAAAGTAATAAATAAAATCATGAGTTAGCATGCAAAAATAAAAATAATAAGTTTTCAAATTAAGTTTTCAAAAATTCTGGTTACATTTTTTTTTAAAATAACTACTGTGAAGTTTTTATATAAAAAATGTTTTAGTATTATTTACGTTTTATTTATTTATTAATCATAATGATTTGAACTATTTGGTTTATTTAAAACTTCTTTTTGTTTGAAATATTTTGGTCAATTTAGATTTTATAGTTTAAGTATAAGCTAAAATATATAATTGGGCAAGACCATTTACCAAAAATCTTGGTAAAGTAGATTCAAAAAAAGTGGGTTACAGGTGTTAACAACAATTTAAGTTTAACGCATTAGATTTATTGTAGGAAATCTTTCAGTATATCTGCCAGTGGCATTAGTCAACTTGTAAAAAACGATAGGGGTAAAAATCATATTAGTAAAGATCCTTGTAAAATATCAAACAACCAAAAACGGTTTAATGCATCTGTCACATTTTTAAATGTTGGATATTCAAATGTCCATATAGATGATCAGATCTCTGATTTTCAGATGCAGAAATTATGCAAGTTTTACATGTTGTCAATTGTAATTATAGTTTTTAGTCAGCAGAAAATGACAATGCAAGATTTAGCTCTACGTTTCCTGGTTCTGTTGTGGTATTATAAGCAAGGTGAATCAAAAATTAAATATTAACTACCATTTGGAATTGCCCCTTATGTTAAAAGTATGTTAAAACCTGATATTAAAAAAACACTATTTACTTTTAAGTTCGATGAGACATCAATTAAGCAAGTGACAAAACAATTTGATGAATATCTTCAGTATTTGTCTGACAAAAGAGGAGAAATTGTAATGTCATATTGTGTTTCTCTTTTTATTGGTCATTGTGACCACAGCCAAGTAGACTTTTATTTTAAATTTGAAACTGACTTGGAGTTAGATTCTGCATATCTTTTACATGTTGGGATGGATGGGCCAAATTTTAACAAGGCCTTCGAAATTATGTTATCACTTGATTTAAAAAAAAAGTCTGACAATATTTTTATTGAGCTTTGTACATGTAACCTTCATAAAGGCCATACTGCTTTTAGTAATGGAATTAAAAAGCTTTTCTTTGGTTTAGATAAACTTTTTATTGATATTCACTTTTTGTTTAAGTTGTCTAGTGTCAGGCGTGAAGATTATGCTGATTTAGTTAATGTAACTAATTTGCTTGCTGCGTTTGCCAAAAAGCATGTAGAAACGCAATGATATTCTATGAATTATATTGCTGTTAGGATTTTGGAACAGTGGGTGAACCTTAAAGAGTGTTTATCAACATGTCTTCCGAGACAAAAAAAATTTTAACGCCTTGTTTAAAACAGATACTAAAGAATTTGTAAAGCTCTTTAGACTCAAGGATATTTAGGTTTTTGTGCTTTTTCAGCACAAGATTTTGAAACATTTTTAGTACAATTTCAAACAGAATCTCCAATGATTCACATGTTTTATCCTGCTATGTTTAGACTTTATTAGATTATTGTTTCTGCATAAACTATTTTAAAAGGCTGTTTGCCTTTTAAAATAGTTAATGCGGAAAACATCAAGCAATATTAGTTGTTGTAAAAAACATTTGTGAAATTTTTTTGTTAGATAAAAAACAGATAGTTGAATTTGTTTCTATTTTCTGATTGTTTAAACATTTTTAATTTTAATTTATTTCATTATAATTGAATTGAATTTATTATTAAATATTAATAAATATAAATTTATTTTATTAAATTTAATTTGAATTCTTTTAAAAATTTTAAAATGCCTTATTTTACAATTTTTTTTTAATTGCTAAAATTCCCAAACTATGTTAAAGAAAAGAAAATTAAAAAAAAAAAAAAAATTAGTTCAAGTTACTTTAAAATGTTTATGTTACATTTAACTATTTTGTTTATTTATTTAGAGTTTCAAATCAATAATTTTTTTTTAATTCTGTTACAAAAGTGCTTAATGCACTTATAACTGTATATAAATGCATTACCAGATAAACCATAATCAAGCCTGTAGGCAAAGTTATTAGATTTATTAAAAATATTTTATTGAATTCTTTTAGTAAATTTTATATATTAAAAATTTATGAAAAGATGATTTTTTCAGTATTGAAATTGCTTTTTAACTGAATTTTTTTCTTTATCATAAATGTTTTGAATTGATCATAGAATGAACGTTCATTAGAAATGATTAACTAGTTTATAACTAGTATGCAAAGATTTTGTTAAAGCCAAAATATTTAAAAAAATGTTGATAGTTTTTATTTATTTTTTGACTGTTAAGAAGTTCAACCTTAAACAATTGCCCTGCATGTATACCAAATTTTTTTTACAAAAACTTTGGTATACATGCAGGATATATATAAAACTAGTATTTTAACTTGTAAAAACAAAAATTTTCTTTTTATCCATAAAGGCAGCAGCATACATTTAAAAAAATTTAGGTCCGATTCAAAGTCTGAGGTCCAAATCAAAGAAAACTTTTCCATAATTCATTACTTGGAGGATTAATTTTTTTCTAGTTCATATACTAACATATAGTCAGATTAATAAACCTTCCATTCAAAAATGATTTATAGAAGCTGAGATATGTGTATATTATAGAAGTATAGATATGTGTGTATTATTATGATACACATATCTATACTTCTATATTTTATAGAAGTATAGATATGTGTGTTTTAAGTACGAAAAATCATAAATAAAATATTTTAATGAATAAATATTTCAAAAAATGAGTCTTTAGAATAATTTTCTTTTCTTTCGGATTTGTTTATCAATAAATCCTTTTCTGATAGCTCTTAGTTTCTACTTTGATTCTTTACAATATCAGTTTTTTTCTGTATACTTTTTACTCTTTTACTTTCAAATATCAAAGCACACTTAATAAAAAATTTCTTTAGTATTAAACCGAAACATTTCATGGCATTAGCCAGAGCTAAAAATCTATTTTTAAAATTTATTACTTTTGAGAATGTATCCATTTCTAATACATCTTTGGAAACAAAATTGTTTCCAAAAAAAAAACACACACATTATAATTCATAAAAAATTTAGCAAAAATTAATTTTTAATGCATATTATAAAGTCTTTTAATTTTTTTTTTGATTGGATATTATGCAATCTTATTTACAACTTTTATTTATATGAAAAGCCCAGCTAGTCAAAAAATGTTAGCTGTTGTGGTCAAGATGTCAAAGCCAAATAATTTATATGCGTACAGGCTATCTAATGTAGAGTATAACTTTTCCGGTATATCAGTTAACATAGCAGATTTAGAACAAGAGGATCAAATAAATATTGATTGTCAGAGAGTAATTTGTTAGACTAAAAATCTATATTGATTGATCAGACCCATGTGCATTAAAGACAGAATGTTAAACTTTCTTTTTTTCATGTCACAGTGATCAAAGTTTTTACGCTGTGATCAAAAGCATAAACCATGTAATAAAAACATGAATCTATGTACTACATTGTTTGGTATGTCTAAAGTATTGGCTTATGTAGAAATCAATGATTGTTGAAACTATGGCAAATACAATTTAAAGGGCACAGGAATACTAGAATATGTTTGTATGGCAGATTATGCATCATTTTATTGATTTTCAGTCTACTCTGTTTAAAAAAATGTCAATTTTTATTTTTGAAAAAATGACTGACAACAAATTGCTATGTGTAACAATTTAAGTTTCAAGAACCAGTTTAAGTTGAATAGTTTAAACTAGTTTTTCAAATGTTTTATTAAGAATGTCTGTGATATACTTAATTTTAATATTAGAGTAGCTATTTAATTCTTAAATGTAGTATTTCGCAGCATAATAAATAATTTTTTAAAAGTGTTATTTTTAAATATATTGAATTAATTAGAAAAAAAAATTAAAATTCTATTTTTCATTTTCACAAGAAGCAGTGATTGATGAATAAAAGTAATTATAAATACTAACACATTTAAAGGTTTTACAAATGTATTTATGGATATTTAACAGTAATTCTATTTGCTCAGCATTTAACTTTATTCCAGCAGGACTAAGTGTTATGCACAAATTCTGCTAAATAACAAATGCAGGTCCAATAGATTACTTTAAAAAGTTGCTATTTTAATGATTTTTTAAAACAGTTGACACACGACTAAGTATGTTTTCCTCTAGTTTATTCTTTCTTTAGAACTCTAATACTCTCAATAATTTTGATTATACAGAGTCTCTGTATAATATGAATTACTGTATTTTGAAGCTCGGTTTCTAAGAAACTCAGAGTTTGGAGTCTCAAAAATTTAATAGAACTTTGCATCCCTAATTTGACAGATTTTTAGTTTTAGGTTTTTTGAAAAAAGTGTTCTTTAATTATCCAGTATACAAAATTTATGTTTGGGGTAATTGTTGAACACTAATTGAAAAACAAACAAACATGTACAAGAACTTTTTTATTTATTTATAAATCTTTTTTGCATAAAGCATTAGGAAAAAATTCAATAATATTATTTATTTAAAATAAATCTCAAACTCAAAATTTTTATGATTTTTATTTAGTTTTTATACTTCAATGTGGTGTACAATGTAGTTCTTGGGGAAAAAAAGGAGAAGATAGTATGGTTGCTCTTTTATTAAAAAATAATCCGTCATTTGTTTTAGACAAAGATCAAAATTATGCAGAGGTAATTTTTTTATTATACAGGATGTTTTTTAAGTTTTGTTTGTGCTGTTGATTTTAAATTTTTAAACATAGAATAAATAAAGAATTTATTTATTTAATTTTATGTTTATCAGTAATAATTTTATTTAATTATATGTTTATCAGCATAAGAACATATTATTTAAAAAATAAGGTCAGCATATTGGCAACCTTAAACTATTTTTGGCCAACATTAGGTTGACACAATTTTTAACTCGAAGGTTTTACAATAACAGCATAAAAACGAAGTTAGCAAAAAATTGTCAACCTCAGACACTGGACCCTAATTTTGAAGACTGTCAACTTATTTACTATCTAGCTCACTATGTTCAGCAATTGTTGAGGGTTTGTCCTTTGTCCTAAGAAAATTTCATAAGGAAGAAGTCTGGAGGACAAAGATTAGGAGAGCAAGCAGACCATTTGATTGGGCTTTGCCTGCCTATTCAGCATTGAGGAAACTTTCAATCAAGCCAGGTTTTTAATAGACTGGAATTATGGGCAGATGCCCCTTCTTTTAAAAGTACATGCGTTTAACTTGAGGCAATAATACTCTTCAAGCCCTTGTAAATATGAATCGTCTGTGACCAAAATATCAAAAAGTATGGATCAATTTGACCTCATGAAGTTATTCCACAGCTCACCATTAATCTATTCTCAAAGTTGAGTACAGGTTTTATATATATATATATATATATATATATATATATATATATATATATATATATATATATATATATATATATATATATATATATATATATATATATATATATATATATATATATATATGATATATATATATATATGTATATATATATATATATATATATATATATATATATATATATATATATATATATATATATATATATATATATATGTATATATATATATATGTATATATATATATATATATATATGTATATATATATATATATATATCAGGCCTTGCGATGAATAAAAACTGCGCGACGCATAAGCACGACGTGATTTTTGACGTCATTTAATTCTTTTTATTTGCTTTTCATATTTATCGACATTAACTGCACCAATTTACTTAATTACTGCAAAACTACTTAAAATCATTAATTTAGAAAAGTTATTATTTAAAAATGTTTTGGAATGTTTCATTTTTTAAAATGTAAAAACATTTGTTTATTTTCTCGACGTTTGACACGTTTTGTCTATACTAAACGAATAAAAAACATTATAACTAAACATTTAAAAAAGATTATAAATGCTAATATTTGAATTTTTTTTCTTCTCAAATATGTAATTTAAAGTTTTTCAAATAATTATTTTTTCTTTTTAAAAAGTCAACGAGTAATAAACTGAAAATTTTAATGTTGTTTGATTAAAAACTGTGCAATAGCTAATATTTTTACCAGCAATTTTATATAATAATTTTTTATTTATTTATTTTTATTTATTTTCATAAAGCGGTTGATAAGCACAATCACTTGTATTACTAAAAAATTTAACGAACGTTTTAAATAGATTTTTAATGTTTACAAGGAATTATATTTCTAGTAAAATAAAATAAAATAAAATAAAATATTAGAATAAAAATCTTTGCGCAAATAAAATATTTTTTATTTGCGCTTACCAATTTTTAAAATGTTTTCTCGATATTACTTTTTAAATACATCAAACAGTTAATAAATATTTTTAAATCTATGGAATAATTTTAAAACCTAACAAACCCCCGTAAAATAATTATTTAAGTTAAAAATCTTAAACTAAACGAAAGTATTTTTGTTCAATTTTATCGACAACTTTGCTATTGCTAAATAATTTTATTAGAATGTTAGCTTGAAAAGATTTAAACTTTTTTTTTAATCTGAATTTTTTCTACTTGTAAATAATGAGCATATTTAATTTTTTTGTAATTCAAACTTTTATATCAATTGCGTGCGGTATTTAAAATACTTTATTAAATGTTAAAATAATCGTAAATTACTTCATTAAAATTCTGCTCAAAAATATCTTTAAATATACTCGAACAAAAATTTTTTTGCTTGACGTAAATAGCCCTAGCTACACGCAAAATCGCTCTTGGACGACGTAAAATTCACATCCCCCGACGCTTTATCGCAAGGCCTAATATATATATATATATATATATATATATATATATATATATATATATATATATATATATATATATATATATATATATATATATATATATATATATATATATATATATATATATATATATATATATATATATATATATATATGGGTAACCACCCACAGATTTTATGAAAAAAACACAATCCTGAAAACCTCAGCTTGATTAGCTAAATCGTTCAAAAGTTATGATCGAATCAATATTGATCAAAATTAGAAAAGTTTTAGTATCTGGACTTTACAGTTGATTTTTTTTATTTTGACAGACGATAACTTCATAAATAAAATAGGTGATTACCTGAAAATTTGTACAGTAGTAGTTTTTCACCAAAATATTCTATTCTTGCAAGTGCTTTTAACTGATTCCAAACAGTTTTTTAGTTATTGTACCCCAAAGTTGCTAAAAATTGCAATATGAAATTTTTTTTAGGAGACTTTAATGTGCTACACTTCAATACCTACACATAGGCAGTGCAAATATTTTGTTAATTTTGTCTACTTAGGGTAACAACCTGTGGTAAAAAGCAAAATTATGAATTAAAAGTTAGTTAAACACTTGCAGCAGCCTGTTAAAATATCATTTTTTTTTTGAAAAATATGATAAATATCTAGTCAATTATTTTGAAAAATATGATAAATATCTAGCCAATATATTTGCTTTTTTTTGTCCCTTTCAGACATATTTTTAGAGCAACCAGAGTAACTTTTATTTTGTATGTGCTAAACTCATTATATTTTTTGAGCATTGTTTTAATGCTACCTTCACTGTTCTTAAGCTAACATCTGATTTCTTGATTGCTGAGACAACCTTTGTGTATGCCAAAAACTTGCCATTTTTTTCAATTGATATGCTCTTTAAACCCATGTTTTTGCTGTTGAAATTTTTAATATTTTTTAATATTTCAAAAAAAGTAAGACTACTAACTTTGTGCAGCTCAAGACTCAAATTCAAGCATTGTGGAATACTGTGCCACAAGATCTAATTAAAAATTTTAAAGATTATTGTGTGAAGTCTTGGCAACAAAGAGTCCTAAAAGCAAATGTAGCCATATGGAATATTTACTTTTCTTAGAGTCTTTCAAAGATAGTAAGTGCGCTAATACTTTAGCACACCTTTTTTTATCCTATTTTTTATCTTTTTTGATTTTAATTTTATCTTATTTTTGTTTTGTTTTCTAATTAAATTAAAGGCAATAATAAAAAAAATATTTTTTTATATTTGATACTGTTCTGTTTTCTTTTATTATTAAAATAAAAAAAAAGATCAATCTGTCTTTTATTATTTTCGAATAACACTCATTTGAAGTTGACAGAGATAAAAAATTTATGGATGAGCTAATAATTTCCAGAAGCACTGTATATATAGAAAAAGTATAGAAAAGGTTGGTGTGGAAAAGACTTACAAAGACACATATTTTTATAGGTCAAATCAACTCCTCACATTTTCAACATTTGTCAGTCGATGTAGCAACACTCCTTGCATGTTCTACCAATTTTTAGTCAATTTAGCATGTTATAACTATTTGTCAGTTAATGTATGTAAACAATAAAATGTTGAATTTAATGGTTTTTTCATAAGCTGTACTAAATTTTGTCTTGTTTAAAAAAAAAAAAGTGCTTAAGAACCGTTTTTTTACCACAAAAGGTAAGTTTAGATTTCAAACTATATATATGTATATGTACATATATCAGTGATGTATCCAGAAATTTTTTGGGCATACCGGTCTGAAGCTGGTCTACATTAAGAGGGTCTTGTATTTTACGTTTGTCCAAATAAAAATGTAAATTAATTAAAAAAAAAATGTAAAAGTAAAAAAAAAAAAATGTAAATTAACCAAAATAATGTTAAATTAACGCTAACATCGCTTCACCGCTAATTTTCATTTACAAAGTTTATTTGCTTAATAATATAATGAGTATTATTTCACAAGCAAGCGATTTAATGCATAACATGATCAATTCATTTTCAAATTTTAATTATTTCATTCAAAAATTAGTAACTTTTTTTTCTTGCTCTTCTCTTACTTTTCAAATCAGGTATTTTGGCGTGTTATTATGTTATTATAACTATGTTTTAAAAACTTTTAATTACTTTATTATTTAAAATATTTTTAATGCAATTTTACTGTTATTTGAAATAAAAAAGTTTAAAGCTCATATAGTTTAATCGCTTTGAAAATTATATTATGAAAACATAAGCGGAGGAGAAACTCATATTAGATTATTTTTAAAATGTTATTCTATTTAATCTAATCAAAACGCGCGTTTTACATTTTAATCCTATTGTAACATCTTCCATATTTTATCAACGTGAATTCGAATTAACCATTCTGATTGACTTAAAATACATTGTTTTAAAAGTTGTTTTTCAAATGCTGATTTTCCAAAGCGACATTAGTAAAATAACAAGTTTTATGATCATAATTATCATAACAATTTTTATCACAAAACAGTAATAAAGAATTATTTTATTTTAATCTTTAAGTAATTTAAGACATTAAGTAATAAAGAATTATTTTATTTTAATCTTTTAGATGCTAATATAAAATTGTTTTAAATTGAGTTGGGACGGAAATTTGGGGGCCCATACCGGTATACCGTTATCAAAATCGACCTGGATACGTCGCTGTATATATATATATATATATGTACATATATATATATATATATATATATATATATATATATATATATATATATATATATATATATATATATATATATATATATATATATATATATATATATATATATAAAGCGACATTAGTAAAATAACATAATATATATATATATATATATATATAATGTTAATAACATAATATATATATATATATATATATATATATATAT